CCTTCCCCCAGGCCCCAACTCCTCATTGCACCTTGCTTGTCTTGCCCTCAGAAAGAGCCCACATGGCTCTGTAGGGCCTGTTTCCTGTCTTCCCAGCTGATCTGAAAGTCAAATGAATGGTCCTGGAAGTTCACTGGCTCACAGGTCACCTCCTTCTCCCAGGTAACCTGTGCGTTTACACAGGCCTTAACCCAGAAGGAGGGCTTGAGTAGCAAGATTTCTGGCCCACTATTGAATAGGTATGTAGGGCTGGGTGTGATCTGCACACACTGGGTTTTCTCCTAACCTCTTCTGTTCACACCAAGAATAAACCCTCTGAGGGCTTGTGTCATTCCTGGGAAGCACACAATAGGTAGCTTATGCTGATCCCAGTTCATGGCAGTGCTTTCGAGAATTCTCCCTTTTTTGCTTTGTCAGTCAAGGCCAAATAGCATGGGATGCTGGTCCAAGGCTGTGAGCCACATGTCATGCCCTATTCACCAGGCCACTGGAAGAAAAGGGTTCCAAGCCCTGGATGCCCAGCTCAAAACATTGTTCAGCCCTGTATAAAATATAGTGGGCATTGGTGGGTACTGAAGAAGTTCCTGCCATGGCCTTGAGAAGGCATAGCTTTGGGCTCCGTGGTTGGGAATGTCCATTGGGGTCTCCCAGCTAAGGCTCAGAGCATGCTGGTCTCCCTCTCATTCATCGAGGACCTCTCGTTTATCGATGACATCTTGGTAAAGGTCCTGTGGCTGGTGTAGGAGGAGTGGCCTGTGTCTTCACTCAGAGCATTGACCAGGCGAGAGAAGAGGGCCACCCTGAACTTCTTGAAGTCCTGACCCATGAAGACATACAGAATGGGGTTCATGCAGCTGTTGGCAATGGCAATGACAGTGGCTAGGGGCAAACCCAAGCTGAAGATGGAGCCAGGCATGGTGGCGTGGTGGAGTTCCAGGAGATAGAGCGTGTGGTAGGGGCACCAGCAGAGGAAGAAGGTGATGATGATGGTCATGATGATCTTGAAGGGCTTCTTGGACTTGGCCAGGCGGTTGCGCCGCAGCTTGCAGACAATGATGAAGTAGCAGGCTGTGATGATGAGGACCGGGACCAGGAAGCCACAGAGGAAGCGGGTGATGGTCACCATCATGTGCCGGCTGAACCCCACAGAGTCCATTCGGGGGTAAGCAGGCCATGGGGAAGAGCTGGCCGCTGACAGGCTAAAGTTGTTGAAGCAGGATATCTTCCCATGCAGATGGGCTGTGTCCCGGAACACGAGGGATGGGGAACTCAAGAAGAAAGCCAGGACCCAGATAACCACGCAGGCTATGTAGGCTAGCCGCACACTGCGATGGTTCTGGGACCAGACAGGGAGGAGCACAGAGATGCAGCGGTCGAAGCTGATGACGGTCAACAGGAAGACGCTGGTGAACATGTTGTAGATAAGCAGGAAGTTGCTGATCTTGCACATGGCCGTCCCAAAAATCCAATGGTAGTCCATGGCAGCATAAGCAATGTGGATCGGGAGGAAGACATTGAACAGGAAATCTGCCACAGCCAGGTTGAGGAACCAGATGGTGTTCACCGTCTTCTTCATCTTGAAGGTGGCGATGAAGATCACCAAGCCATTGCCCAGGACCCCAAGGAAACAGACAATGCTGTAGACCACAACCAGGAAGATCCTGAATACCCTGCTTCCCGGGGGGGAAATGTCCTCCAAAACCATGATGGTCTCATCTTCGAGGTACTCGTCATAGGAGGTGTAGGAGGCGTTGTAATCCTCGTCCCCCATTCTCTGTAAGGGGAAACATGGGTCATTACCGGAAACTTTAATGGAACTGGCTTTAAGAGGTCCACCAATATCAGCAGGACCAACTTTGTTCTCCCTGGCTCTGAGCAAGGCAAGTTTGGTTGTTTAACTACTTTCTGCTTTGCTATTTTATTTATTTAACGAATTCCTCTCCAGCACCTCCTACATACACGTACTGTTCTAAAGGCTTCACATATATAAACTCTCTTAACCTCACAACGACTCAGTGAGATAGGTAGGTTACAAACCCCATTTTACAGATGAGGAAACTGAGGCACAGAAAGTTTAAGTCACTTGCCCGAGGTCACGCAGCCAGGAATCAAAACCCAGCTTCAGAGTCTATCCTCTGGACAGCCATGTTTTGCTGCCTCTCTGAGATCCTCCCCTCCCTGTTACAGTCCAGCGGGAGAGATGAAGATTCATCAGAAATTTCTTTAATTATGAAAAAACCTCAACAATGTTAATTGCAATGAAGATGTGCATAATGCCGTGAACTTGGTTCCATTCATGTTTCCAAAACCCAAGGGATAGCCACGCTGGCATTCTCCAGTGCCCCCACCTTGTTAGTGGACCCCCACTGGTGCTTTTTGGAGATATAAGTTTAGACAGCAAGAGTCCCTCACCATTCACTGTTATGGGGTCCAAAGCTCTCCAGTGTGGGTCCTCAGCCAATCAGTCCCTCTGCACAGCTGGAAACACCTGTGGGGAAGAACAAGGAGGCAGCAGTTGAATCCCAGTCTAAGGGCCTGAGTGCCGAGTGGACTCAGAGCCAGAAATAGGACCTGTTGTTGTTACTCTCAATTTACAGAAGAGGAAGCAGAGGCTTGGAGAGGCTAAGCAACATGCCCGAGGTTACTCAGCTGTGAAGTGGCGAAGCCTCTTAAATCTAGATCGGCTACTGGACTCTTCATCCCAAACCTCATTTCCCCACCATAGCACATCCATAAATGAGAACCTGAGTCAGGGGTGGGTGCAGGGGAGAGCATGGATGGCTCAATGCAAACACCATCAGGGCAGGACCCAGAAAACACCATTCCAGGCAATGTTGGGCATCCAGAAGACAGAAGAACTGTTCGGAGCACCCACTATGTGCCAAGAACTATAATGCCCTCATCTCATTTTGTCTTCCCAGGGCTCTTCCAGATGCTGTTATTACTCATTTTGGAGCTGCAGAAACTGAGGCCCAGAGAAAGAAGTATTGTTCTCACTGAGCATTCTCTGGTCCCTGTGGTTACCATGAATTAGATACAGACCCTGCTGTAACATCAGTCTCATGAGGAGACAGACACAAATACACTCACTGAGGACCTACTGAGAACATAACTGGTCCTTCAAACAGTTCCTATAACACCATTGTTGGGTATTTTTCCAGTTGATGGAAGAACAAACTGAGACACTGGGAGTTTGCCAGTTTGGGAGGTCTGGAAGCAGTGGTCATATGCGTGCTTCAAATCCAACCTCAGCCACTTACCAGCTGGGTGGCTTTGAACATATGATTTCTCCCCTCTGAACCTCAATTTCCTCATCAGTAAGATGAGAATAATCACTTCACAGAGTGTATGTAAGAACCACGGGCATCAGGAACATAGATCATTTGACTTGGTGCTGGCACACAGTAAAACTTCAATAAATGTTAGTGATTACATTTTGGCCCAAAAGTAACAGCTGATGAGCAGCCAAGCTGGAATTTGAACTCAGGGCTCTGACACCCCAGACTCTATGCACTTTCCACCACCCAAACTCTCTCCATCTTGACAAATGTGCTCCGAACCGGATGTCTTAGCCTGGTGAGACTATTGATCGATGCTTCATTATCAAAAAAATTCCAACCTTTCTCCATCTAAATTCACTGCTGGTCCTTAACGGGTTTGGGGTTATATTTTATTGCGTAAAAATCATCTCTTGCTTTTATTAAATAAGAGCTACTTGGGAAATTCTATTGAGGACTCTGGGCTCCACGGACTCAGAATTTGAGCTTCGGTATCATCCCACTCTGCTGGGAGGACATTCCAGAGGTGACCAATGAGGGGTCCCCAGGGCTTCCCAGAGCTCTAGAATTTGGAGGGAAGATGGCAACACTGCAGCAGACCCTCCTTAATTGGGGGAAATGTAACCAGTGTTCATGATAATAATGAATGCTAGGGACTATGCTGAACATGTAATACAGGTGGTCTCACTTTAGCACCAACGAGCCTGAGGAAGCTGAAGACCCTTGCATCCAGGAAGGTATCCAGGCAGGAAGTGGCAGAGCTGGGATTTGAACCAGGTCTGCAGAACCTGGGCTCTTACCATCCTCCACGCTGCCCTGAAATCATGATCTGATGACAGCCACTGAGTATATCCTTGAGGAGGAAATGACCATATCCACATTATCTGTGCCAGACTGTGCAGGCCCCAGGGACAAAGAAATGGCTTTCTTAACAGTAAAGCTGCCTGAGCTCCAGGCATCACATTTAAGTTCCAGGCGGAAAGAAGGGAAAAGATAAAGGAAGGGTACTCCCCAGGAGCTCACAGTCACAAGGCAACAAGGCAGAGAAAGTGCTGATGGGGGGAAGGCCAGGATGCTCAGGAGCCCTGAGGTTCCTCCGACCCCCAGCCTGAGAGTCTAAGGCTTCCTCGGGCAGGCAGGGTCTCCCTAGGGCTCCGTGAGGCTAAAGTTTTAACTCGTTAGCTGAGTTTATGTTTTTGTTTTTGTTTTCAATGAGATCTGAGGTACTTTTATTTTATTTGCATTCTATAGAGCATTTTATTTTTTTATTAAATGTATTGGTGTGACATTGGTTAATAAAATTGTATATTGCATTGAGTGTTCACCACCCAAAGTCAAATCTCCTTCCACCACCATATATTTAATCCCCTTTACCCTAATCTACCTCCCGCTTTCCCTCTGGTAACCACTAAACTGTTGCCTGTTGTCTGTTTGTCTTGTTCATCTGTTGCTTTCAGTTTTATATACCACATATGAGTTTTAAAGGACAACTGTGAGTTAAGACAATGGAAGAAGGGAGGAAGGAGACCATCTCCCCACCTCCCAGCAATTCTCCCTTTTTGGCATGGGGAAAGGTCTGAGCCCCAGGAGGAGGGTGAAAAGGAGCAGAGACTCAAGCCCCAGCACTTTGCATTGCAGCTTCTGCAGATATGCCAGGGACACAGATAACGTCATGTCTAGCTCTCCTGCTGGGCTGGGAGCAGCTCAGGTCAGAGGCCACATCTTTTCATCTTTGAATAGGGGCCAGGCTGAGCCAGCAAAGGGTGGTGCTGACATCCTCTGGGCATTTCATCCTGAGAACTGAGTGAGTCAGTGTCTTCTCCACCTTCTAGCCCCTTGGCTCTCTCCCTGGAGGGGAACCCTACTCACAGGTTTGTATTCAGCCTCCACTCTGTCCCCACACACAGCCCTCCTGTCCTGAGCCTGTTTCTGTCCCCAGACCAGGCAGTACTGGGCTGAGTGATCAAGCACAAAGATACCGTGGCCCAGCCAGGCTGCCAGTGTCCAAATCCTCAGTCTACATGAACTTCCTGTGACCTTGAGCAAGCTAGTTACCTTCTCTGCACCTCAACGGTCTTATCTATAAAGTAGACATGATAGAACTAAATGTCACATGTAAAGCACTTAGAACAGGGCCTGTTATGGGGTAGGCACTATGTTGTTATTGTTATTATTACTGTTCTTGTTGTTGTTGTTGTTGTTGTTGTTGTTGTTGTTATTATTATTATTTCTCAGGCTTCCGCTCTTAACTCCCTTGTAAAATGGCCTTAGCCTGGGAACATGGGAGGGGCCAGGAAGGTCAGAGGACCAGTTCATGCTGCCCACTTGTCTCCCAGCTCTGGATTCAAGAGCAGGTCAAGTACGACACAGACAAGGAGTTTGCTTCTCTAAGCTCCAGTCTCCTCATCTCTCCAATGGAGATAAGAACCCCTCCCTATGCTGTCAGGAGGGTCCTATGAGATAACAGTGAATCCTTTGCCAATTGTAAATTGTAAAGAGCTATAAAATTCTAGTTATTTGTATTTCTTAAACCATCCACAACCAGGAAAAAAGTATATGTAACTATATATACATAATACGTGCATGCACATAGGTAACATTTATTTGAATGCTCCATTATATGCCAAGCACTGCTATGCAGGACTCCAGGCAATGCTTCCAACCGCCCTGCAAGGATAATGTTAGTTTGCAGGTAAGAAAATGAGGTTCAGAGAGGTGAAGCAACTTGGCTGAGGCCACAAAGCTGGGAATTCTGACTCCAGAGTCTGACTTCCAAGGATCCCAAGTGAAAAGTCTCTTTGGCTCCCCTGCTTCCTCAAGGGATTAACTGTTCCACCTCTCTGAGCCCCCTAAGCCTCAGCTTTTAACCCTGAGGACCCAGACCTTCATCACGTTCTTGATCCTCCACAGGGCTGCTTTCCCTGAGCCACCTTCCCAGGTTTCCCTTCATCTTTCCTTCAAGGCTACATGAAAATCACACCCGCAAAGCTGTGTAACTCCTGGTCAATGACGTCAGCCCCTGCCTCTCTTGGGCTGCCCTTTATGAAGCCCCCTGCTCAGTGAGAAGTGCCCCCAGAGAATTCAAGGTCATAGATAACATGGCTTTTCCTGAAAAACTGGGCTGCTTTCTTATTTTTGATAATTCAAGTTCTACAACTGATCACATTTCCCGTTTTGATATGGCCACAAGGAAGCTCAGTCACATTTGCAGGTCAAAGGCAGCAACCTCATTAACCCTGCTGGTCTGCAGTTTTCTGCATTGGTTTTGGTTGGTCCTTATGTCTACATCTAATTATACTTTATACTGGTTTCAGTTCCTTGTAATAAATAATGATTGGTGCACACAATAGCTCGAACACTACACTAAATGCTTTAATTGCATTAGCTCGCACACCTCAATGCCCAGGAATGGTACTGCTATTACTCTCAATCTAAAGGTAAGGAAGTGAAGCTAGTGTCACACAGTTAGCTAGTGACCAATGCACATCCAGTTTGCTCTGACTCTGAGCCCTGCTCTTAACCACCTTGTTTTCCATGTCTGTTCACACCCTTCATGATGCCTTATGGTCCCCCAGCTCCACCCTCCAGGGACACCTCCTCATTGATCTCCTTTGCCTAGTCTCTCAAGGAATTTACCTTCCCCAGTTTTCTGGACAATCTGGCTGAGGTCTGGGGCAAACATGGGGATAATGTGCCAAAGATGACATTGTCCATCACAGCCCAGACAGGCATGTGAGCCTGTGGCCAGCCTGTCCGCTTTACTGCCCTTAGCTCCCCAGAGAACCCAGAGGTCAGATGAGTTGTCCTGGCTTGGCAGGACAAGATTCTTCCTGCGACCCTGAACTCACAACTCATTTGAAACCAGGGCCTAGAGCTAGTCTGCTCTGAGATTCCCGGGACAGGCTCCCCAGGCCCGTCGTGGCTGTCCTTTCCTTGAGACAGTTCCTATAGGTGTCCAGGAGATAATACCAGGAGGGATCTGGTTCAGGAGGCAGAAAATCTGCTGTGACATCTAAGCAAGTTGCTTATCCAGTCTGAGCCTCGGTTGTGCAATCTGCAAAATGGGAATAATAGTACGTGCCCTGCCTGCCTCTCAGGGCTGCTAGGAGGATGAGCTAAGGAAGTAAATATGAGCTTCTGGAGGTCAGACGAGAAGGTAGGTGGTTTCTAAATCCCTTCCTTTTTATAACTTTTTATAACTTTATTTTGA